GTAATAAAATAAAATCACGCGTCGATGATGACGGTTCCACCTTTGTGCTCTGACAGAGAGGAAGCAGAGGTGTTAGGAATACAAATATGTTGTATTCATCAAAGAAAACTTATAGTACTGTATATTTCTTTGTTATATATTTAAAACAATACTTTCTTGTTTTTATTTATAGTTAATGTAAGACATTAAGCTTAAAACAAATGCGTTTTACCCTGTTTTGGTGTCTTCCGCATTCAACAGATGGTGTTCTGTGCTCAAATTCATCTTTTTAAAAAACTGATTTTCAAATTATAATACATGTACTTCTCTTTTCAAAGAACTCATTTTACAGGAATTGTTGATCTTTTCCCTTTTTTCATATATAGTTCAGTCATTTGGTAGTTTTACTATAAGAATTTTTCGGAAGTTTTTAAAATTGGTGATTTTATGGATTTTGATGTGATCTTTACGAATTACGATTTAAAATGTTCAATCACCAGCAAAAATAAAAATGAAAAACAAAAGTAAACATTTTATTTTATTCCTAGGCCAGACCTAAAGGAAAAAGCTTAATTCAACATTGAAATTACATATTTATTTATTAGAGAGAATGCGTTCAAGTGCAAAGAGCGGCCAAATACTGAGAGGAGAAATGGCGGCGCGAGCAGCAAAAAATTTGCGGCGCACGTATGCTAAAACTATTGTTGTCACAGAAAACTGTTATTGAATAAATTATAGAAAATTTTGTCTAGTGAATAATTTATAGAAAATTTTGTATATATTTTATTGTAATTGAGTCAGAAAGGAGATATCGTTGAAAAACTGACTTTTGATGCAATTTTCCAATATGGCGTCGGCAGCGGCAAAAATTCGAGCTCCCAAAGTTGAGAATTGTAAAGATCACACCAAAATCTATGAATTTTCAAAACTTCCAGAAATCTCTTAAGGTAGCAGCTTTTTTGCCACCAAATGACTGGGCTAATATTATATATACTAAGATAAAATGTATATAGCGGGTTGTCAACACGCATCGCGGCTCGTCAACACGCATCACATGTTACTGGACAGATTGGCCCATATAGTGACAGCACGGAGAAAAACAAAAGGAAATTCAAGTGTCAGATCGGACATGGCTTTTGTTTCTCCCTAGTCGAATTTGCCTAAAATGTATGATTCTTAAAACTTTCTTTTCAATTATCAATAAGAAAATACCAATAACGTTTTTAACGATCAGTATGACAACACATAGTGTCGTGGATATTAATCATATATAAAATAAACGAAATAAAATAATATTTTATGAAATTTATTGTCTATAATTTTGGTATTTAATAGGACCACACCTCCATATTTTGGTGACCCCGACGTGATAACTAGTAACACACAGAAAAGAAGGTAAGAAGATCAAGACATATTTTGAAGTAGCAAAAAAAAATAAATTGAAGTCTCAAGAATTATTAAGAAAAGAATTTTTAAAAAATATAATAATTATTAAATGGCTCACAACTGCCATAATTCGAAGAGCATTCTAAGCAAACAACTGAGACTCCGACCACGCACTTCAAGATCAACAAAACACGTGCTCAATAAATCACTTATTATCATGGTAAATAAGTCGATAATAAGCACCATGGCAGCAGACAGGGAGCAAACAATTTGGCAACCGCCATATACACTTAGCCGCTAACTCCAGCGAAGGCCACATACACTCAACCGCTAACTCACCAGCGAAGGGCCACATACAATCAACCGCTAACTCACCAGCGAAGGGCACATACACTCAACCGCTAACTCACCAGCGAAGGGCCACATACAATCAACCGCTAACTCACCAGCGAAGGGCCACATACACTCAACCGCTAACTCACCAGCGAAGTGTCAAATATACTCAGCCGCTAACTCACCAGCGAAGGGCCACGTAAGCAATCAACAAACTCAACAAGCCAACACGGCATTCAAAACGCCACGGCCACAACAAATAAAATTTATCACACAATCTCAACCAAAAGAAATTTACAAGGAAGTTCAAGAATGGCAGTCAGAGATACGAAATAATCTTTTTCATTAGGGCGGAGTGATATAGCGGGTTGTCAACACGCATCGCGGCCGTCAACACGCATCACATGTTACTGGACAGATTGGCCCATATAGTGACAGCACTGAGAAAAACAAAAGGAAATTCAAGTGTCAGATCGGACATGGCTTTTGTTTCTCCCTATTAGTTTTTGCCAAAATGTATAATTCTTGAAACCTTTCTTTTCAATTATAAATAAGAAAATACCAATAACGTTTTATTAATATATTAATAAACGATATTAATCATATATAAAATAAACGAAATATAAATAATATTTTATGAAATTTATTATTGTCTATAATTTTGGTATTTAATATGGACCACACCTCCATATGTATAACAATAATTATATGCATCGTGAGTATATGAAATTATACCCTTAGGCAATAATCTCATATATTTTAATTATATACTGTAATTAAACCTAATCAATGAAATTCATGTTTTTAAATCTTAATCGATAAACTGATAGTTTATTTGAATAGTATCTGAATAGTATATTATACGCGTATGTTCTCATTTATTCAAATATATATTTTGTTCAAAACAATTAGGTTTATCTTTTCTCTATCATACATTATATTTCTATACTATATATAAAGAGTAAAATTACAGAAACGTTTACAAGTATATAATATCAAAACTTATTTTTTTATTTTAATAACGCCAATAGACTATTTATAGTCTATAAGAGTATAAAATATACCAAACCATAGTTATATTATTTCTATGGTTGGTATATTCTATACGTTAAATTATTATTAAAAAAAATAGGTTTCTATATTTTTGCTTTCTTATTTTTTGACACATTTTTGAGAGTGTCATTGTAATAAAAACCATTTCAAAAAAAAACTTTACCATTAAGCCTAAAATTACAGAAATGTCTGAAAGGATATAATATGAATATTTATTTCTTCATTTCATTAACGCCAATTAGGTTATATAATTCAAATATAGGCAAGGTATATGTTAAGCATATTCAGAAAAATAGATTATTAAAAATAAAAGTGCTTCTTCAAAGCCCAAATAAATCAGTAGTGCATTGCATTGTGCCTTAAGGCAAATTTTGCAGGAAATTTCGGCACCACAACATTCGAGGAATAACAATAATCTATCAATGCAATCAATAAAAATTTATCAATAATTGTTTTAAATATTTTCAAATGGATTTTTATTAATTCTGTAAGTTTCATCATTCGTATTTTATAGACAAAATATAGGAGTTTATAAATTAGGCAAAGAACCAAAGAAATGGAAACAAAATGTGCACTTATTATTCAAATTTCTATAAAATATCTGATAATTTGATGTACTTATTATTTTTGACCACTAAAGGTCATTTTTGGAGCTTTGTATATACTTCATATTAAAAAAAACAGTGTGCAAAAAATGCACATATAATATTAAATAACTTTCTGTTATATTTTCAAATAAAAAGTTTTTTGCACCATGTGTATGTGTGATTAAAATAAATGTATGTGTAGTTAGAATTTAAAGATCATGCATATACCTTTCTATAAAAAATGTTGAAAACCCATATTGTAGCCTTGATGATAGTATAGAACGTGAAAATATGGTTTCTATTAATTATAATGAAATACCCAATTTTTTAGAAAAACGAAATTTCCGTTATAACCATGAATTATCTAGCTAGCAATGCATACTAACCATCACAAGATGTAGAAAAATATAATACAGTAATTCCTAAATTTTTACTGAATTTGGTTTGGTTGGGATTAAATAATGTTGTAAAATTATACTAGATTGATGCATATGAAAGTGCAAAATTTCCCATATGACTTTAATTAAGATTTTTTGTCTGGAAAAATAACTTAATTCGTGTGAACTATATGATTTTCATTTATCTTTTCTCCAAATAACGATAATAAGGTACATAGTGAAAATATATCACAAAATTATACTTTGATATCACTTAATTATATGTTGATAAAAACTCTGAAACGTTAATCAATTCAGAGTTTGGCTCATTGTTAAATAAAACTCATTATGAATAACTTATCAAATAATAGATAAAACCGACTTGTTGAACTTTGATTGAACTCTATTGTTTTAAAATATATCAATTGTTAACCATATGTCTGCATAAAGCATTATCAATGAAAAGAATATTATTTTTGGAAATATCAACACATGGTACTCTTATTTCTTGCACTATTCATTAAATAATATTAAAGTCACTAACGTTTCGAGACTGGTTTGTCCCATCATCAAATAAAAACCTTAATTAATATATATTTCGTTGAATTTATATCATTTGCTCCTTGCAGAATGATTATTAAATTATTTGAGACCATTAATAAATTATTAAGGTCCAAATTATTTTTTCTATCAGGTAAATAACAAATTAGCATAAATGATTGAAATTGGTGTTAATAAACGTCTTATGCGGGATATGGCAATATGTTTCATTGTGCAGAGACCGGCGAGAAAACATATTAAGCATAATCGTCTTAACGGGGTTTTACTGTATATGTATTATGATATATTTGATGTATACTAGACATATAAATTTTTAATGTAAATAATGTAAATTCAAGTATAATTAATCAAAGTTATCATTGTATATAGCAAGAAAAAAATACAATGTCATAATTATAAAATAGATATTAAAAACCTTCGTAGTTAGATTTAATTAGAATTTATCCATTTAATACAGAATATTTCAAATGGTAAAAATATACTATATGAAAGCCTATGCAATAAGATTGGTTGGGAGTTTTTGTTATAATAAATTAGATGATTTTCATTTCACCGACTTAATTTTTTTCAGTAATTTATGTTGCAGAATGCACATATGCAACTATCTTTAGCAAATAAAAAATAATTAACACCCCTCGCCCTTTAAAACATTCAAAAACTATGAAAGTGCCCAAATTTTAATTCATGCCCTAAAATATATGAAATTCTTATAGCAAAACAGAGGAAATCATAACCTATGAAAAGACATGCATATAAAAATAGTACATACATATTTCAGCCCGTTCAATAGATTCTATCAGTCTTACACTATAATTTTATAGTTCATTGCACTATAAATTTAGACAAACAAACTGTAATCACTATAAATACACAAAACAAAAATTCATGACATTTCTTAAATAAAAACTATTTTCCACTACAACTCCAAGTGAGTTGCCAGCACTTGCAGCACATGACAAAAATTTGCGCGCGATTTTTAAATGTTTGAAGTTCACGATAAAATATCTGTGATGAATTTAATATTTTATATGACACATAATATATTATAAACACTTTTATTATCAACTTTATTACTATTTTCAATTATTCCCCAATTTTAGACAAAAGGTACATTGAAACGATGCAAATACAGATTTCATAAGAGTGCTGCCAGTGATGATGCCATATTATAAAATATATGATCAAGGATTATATTTATATTTAATTTGAATTATATTTAATTTCTTTTGTCTGTACAATCAATTTTATATATAATGGATTTCAGATATTGGATTTGGTAGAAATATAAAATTTGCAAATATTTTCATTTGAATCAGCTGTTTGCTTGTTGCGCAAAAAGCATGCAATCTGTCAAATATATTAGATAGTGGCCTGTCATGTTATCAAATTTCAAATATTATTATTTACAAACATAATCATTGTTTATGTTATCCTTTCCAATATAAACAATTTATTTATGTGCATCTTTTTTCTATTTCCATTTTAATCCTTGTTTGTAAATACTTGTCAAAGTTCTAATTTTAGATTATACTAGAATTACGCCTTGCATATTTTTGTCGCAAAAGTAAAAAAAAAAAACATTAATCAAATCCGAATAATGGAGCAACCACCTTTTGTTGGCGATTGGGTGAGGAAAATTAAATTAGGTTGCGGCGGTTTTGGCATTGTTACACTTTGGCAAAATGATAAAATACCTGATAGTTTAGGTAAATGGAACAAACCCTAAAATATGCTAATATAATTGTAGATTTAAGAAAAAATATACTGATTAACTAATGCTGTTTGTTAAAAATTCGTTTCTGGTTCCTAAATTCCACATCCTAAATTTTTGTTGTAGCTATCAAAATGTGTCGACCAGATATTGCAAATCGAATTACTCCAAAACAGCGTGAAAGATGGACAAAAGAAGTGCATATTATGAAAAGTATAAGTCATCCAAATATTGTACACACAAAACGTATTCCACAAATATTATTTGAAGCCTTAAAAGAATATAATATATCAGAATTACCTATTCTGTCAATGGAATATTGCAGCAAGGGTATGAGAGAAAATTAACATTTTGTTATATTATATAAAGATTTATATTTAAATATCATATAATTCCTCAGGTAGTTTACGCCACGTACTTAATCAGACTGAAAATTGCAGTGGTTTATCTGAATCAGAAGTTCGATACATATTTGAAGATATATCAAGTGCTATTGCATATTTGCATAACATGAAAATCACTCATAGAGATTTAAAACCGGATAATATTGTATTACAAACACTTGATTCATCTCTACAAACACAGCCACAATTCAATAACAGAACTAACAAAGTTGTGTATAAACTAATAGATTTGGGATATGCTAAAGAATTAGACGAAAAAAGTATATCAGAGAGTTTTGTTGGAACTTTGCAGTATTTAGCACCAGAAATATTGCTTAACAAAAGCTACAGTAACTCTGTTGATTATTGGTCTTTTGGACTAGTTGCTTTTGAAATCATTTGCGGTGTACGACCATTTTTGCCAAATATGTCTCCAGCACAATGGTAAATTATGTAAAGACATGTTTAAGCATTTTTTGCATGTAGTCTTGGATCATATTTTAGCATTTGCTTTAATTACATGTTGCCTCAATTGAGATTAGAATAAAATTTTATTTAATGTGCTATTTCAGGTTACTTCAAATACAAAAGAAAAATAGTGACACAATTTGTATATATCAAGATATAGACGAAAATAAATCAATAATTCATTGTGATAAAATTTATGCAGAAAATTTTATATCCAGTGCATTGCAATCTAAATTCGAAAAATGGTTTAAGCTTGCATTAGAGTACGATAGTAAACAAAGAGGATATGAAAAAATGAAGCCAGGATCTCAGAGCAATAGCATATTAGAAAAGAAATGTGTAACATTTAATGATATTGAAATTGATCGAATTAATAGGGAAACAAAGTTTTTCACATTATTAAATACAGCACTCAAAACAAAGATTATAACTGTTTTTGTTGTATATACTTATCAAATATTAAGTTATGAAATTGAGGAAACGCTCACAATGAATAGCTTCCTACAACAAATTCAAAATGATACTACTAATGAAGTTTTAGTCAGTGAAATGATTTTAGTACTGCCAAATCGAGAACAGGAAAAGATTGATTATGATGGCTTTGCAAATCAACTATGGACAAACGTGAGAAATTTTATTATTAGTTTAAAAATTATATTTTTAAAATATTGTTCTAGGTTTTTCTTACTTCCCGCAATAAATTTGAAATAAAATTCGAATAGAAAATAGAAATAATAAAAGACATTAATATATCTCATTTTTTTGTAGAATTTTGATACCCCAATGGTACATATTTGGAAGAAAGGGCAAATAATTTCTGAAAAGTATATAAATCTTGAATCATCACCTGATCTTATAAAACGCATGTACAGCTGTCCTAAAATTAAAATTCTGGGACATTTTATGAAAAAATTTGCTTCTGATTGTTTATATTATGTTAAAAAAGAAATGCAAATCTATGATACCCTTATTACCAGTTGCAATAGTAAAATTAAGATTATTCAAGAAAATATATCAAATATGACTAATGCATACCATGATATGAAATCAGAGTGGATGTTATTATCAAGAAATCTTAAAACATCTGAAGATGCGTTAACTTTTGATTGTAAAAATATAAAAAATTTGCATAATTCCAACGTAGATTATGATAAAAAATGGACAAAATCCTTCGAAAGCTTATGTTTAAAAGTCAACACAATAAAAGATGCTATTGAACACATTTCAAAGAGATATGACTCTATTAAACGTAGAAATAATAATATAGATTTTCAAAAAATGTTTAGAAAAGCCAGGACTATTCCTGAAGTTGAATCAATGTATGTAGAACTCATATTATGGAGATTTACAAATCTACTTGACCTCTAATGATGTTATGATATTATGTTTTAGATTCAATGATATAAAACAAAATTATGAACATATAAGAAGAATATTGAAGGGCGACTTCAGCATTGGTGACAATCCTGATGTTTGTAAAAACCTTAAAAAAGCAATAATTTTATTTATAAGTGCCAGAGAAAAGAACATGCTCAAAGATCAAGATATGAGAATGAATATATTGTAAGTACATCATCATTATATCATTAAATATCTACCATCATGAGCTGTTATGTTTTGTAGATTTATACTTGATCTGGATGCTGAAATTACAAAAATTTTATCTACTATTAACAGTGCTATAAGCAATATTGTTAATTTAACTAATGAATTAACAGCAATAAATGCTAGCCGACAACAAGATATTTGGGCACAAATTAATGTCCAAACAAATAGATCAAATGAATCAGCTGACAATCCAGAGAAAATACTGGACTTTGCTTTATATGCTGTTCCTAAGCAAAGCATAAAGTCCAATGGAATATTATTAAACAATGAGGAAAATATGATAAATAACATCACAAATAGCATTTCGGGAAATTTTGATTGTAAATCAATGATCGATGATAATATTTCTTTGCGATACATGTAAGTATTTAATGAAATAACCCAAACCCAAACCCAAACAGGCATTAACTTGTCACTTTATCGCATGAACTTGTGATTGCTAATGCCTGCTTTCAAGTAATATTTAATCTTAATTTCCTCATAAATCTCTGGTGAATTTTTTTCTTTCAGGCAGCAAGATTTGATCCAAGAGTGTTTAGATATGTATAAATCTATTATGAATGATCATATGGACTTTGGTTTTCTAAATGATTAAACCACACGTTTGCCACATGCATATAAAATAAACAAATTTATATTTTAATTTCAAATATATTATGCATTCTCCAATAAATTAATATATGATATATATTTTAATAACTTGAATTGAATAGAGTTCTTCATTCATATAAGAATTAACTCAATTTTCATAAAAATATCACTTGTTATTAGTATTAGAAATTGTTACTAATTTTGTGCAGAGTCATGTATGGATTTAATAGCTTCCGTCAAAGCTTCAGGTGTGGGCTTCTTAGACACATGTGCCACATTGATATTCTTGTCTATCATTGCTTTTTCAGTTGTTGGCCCAATAGCAACAAATTTTATTTTTTCCATATCAATATGAAACTTTTCAAAAAGTGGTATAGATGCTGCAATCCCAGAAGGACTAAAAAATACTATAAATTCTGGGCATTCAGTCCCGAATTTAGTCAGTTTTGAAAATTTTTCTTCAAAGTGCACATTTGGTATAGTTTCATATACTTCAAATGGGGCTAATGGTATATTTTCCTTCTCCAATTTATTTGGTAAAATGTCCATTTTCAAGTTACCACATGGAAATAATAGTGGTTTTTCAAATGCATGATTTTGTTTGTGTGATATGATTAAATCTGCTAAAATGTTAGCGTTACCACATTCTTCACCTACAGATTTAAGTTTAAATTTTTTTTCTACTAATAGGGAAGTACCACGACCAACAACATATATTTGCAAATTACTATTATTAAACCATGTTAAATTACTGTTGATTGCCTGGCTGAACCCTATAACAGATCTAGGACTAGTAAATACGATTCCTGAATAATTTTCAGAATTATCAAGTGTATTTTCAGCATTTGTATGGTATTTAAAATCGATAGCAGGTATTACAGTAACCGAATATCCATTATTCTGCAAATCTTCTTCATATAAATCTGGTTCACCATCCGAATCAACAGCGGCTTTACAGAGCAACACATTTTTTTCTTTTAAAATCATAACAAACTCATTCCTCGCAATTATATCTCATTAAAATCATTTCAACTTGACATTAATCTTTTTTTGGTTACTTTTCATTTTCAATAACACAAATGTCAAGAATTACCATCTTGCAAAAGCGAATGACGTAAAACCGCGAATTTTAAACATGAAAATATTACTATTAGATAACAGATAAAACGAATATTGTGAAGTAATATAAATATTTGCACACAGAAAATATCTATATTTTTAAGTAAAGTACATTTATCTTTGGATATCTCTATAAATGCTAAAATTCGAAGACATTACATTTTGGTTTTGAAATAAATGCATTATGACTAGATTTTATTTAGTTACCAATTTCGTGTTCTTTTTTACAAATGCTTGGTCAATTTTCATATTAATTTTATATATCAAGCATATTTCCAGCATTAAGATAAAAATTTGAACTCAATTGATTCAATCTCATCTAAACTATTGTAATTTATTATAACACCCTAGCTCAAAAGTTCAAAATAAATGGGAATCAAATTTTTTCCTCTATTATTTATTTTAAAAATCAATTAATTAGTTTTAATACTTGATATTTTTTAATTTTTATGTCAAATTAGACATAGTATTGGCACAATTAATAAATGATGTGTTTTAATTCCTACTCTACTGACTACTTAACATAAAAAAAAAAATGGAAAAAATGCAATATATGTTCCTTACCTATATAAGTCGCTCATCAATAAATCTAAATTTTACAATAATATAATAGCATGGTCTCGCTCCAATCTTCGTCTAGCTCTTATTTGTACAGAACCCATGCCATCAGATGGTGGGGGTATTCCTGAACGCTTCTCTGCTGCTTGCTGGTAGTACATCTCACTTCTGCCACATTGGTATCCAAACAGCACACTTTCATCACTCCTTTAAATGAAAAATAAAAATTAATTATAGAAATCAATCACCTACTCTACTTTAATGAAATAATTAAAAGTAAAATTTGCAAAAATTTTACTTTTGTTTATATGAATTTAGACAAATACAAATTATTTAACTTGCATTGCATATATAGTGTATAATAGAGAATTTGTAACATATGTTTAAAAATCTACCTCAAAATAATTTCTGAAATCTCTTTTGAAGTTACTAAATCACTGTGCATGTGACCCAATGCTGATAATTCTTGAGGATCCCATGGTCCCCCTCGATTGACCACATCCCATTGAGAATCCAAACACATAAAACTATATCCTTGTTCATTATTAGATGGTATTTGCTCTGGCTCAACCGCTCCAAGAATATCTCTTAGTTTAGACTCAAGTCTTGGTAAACGACTTACACAAGTTTCCCACTTAAAAGAAAATAATATATTATTTTTTAATTGATTTTAATTAATAATGACAGATATACTAACCATTTCTGTGATAAGCTGCTCATTATATCCAGCACCATCTTCAAGAATTAAGAGAAGGGTCATATCGCGTTGTCCACATATTAACAAATGAGAACGTACTCTTCCACCAAAAGCCTCAGAATGATTTAGATCTGAATTAATCACTGATGAAATAGGAGTATTGCATATAGAAGATTTATCTTGTGCATCAGTTGGTGTGAAATCATATATAGAATCTTGCACTGCGCTTAATATACTTAATTTACTCATTAAAGGAGTTAATGGTACTGGTCCTGGACCTATGGGAGTGTGAGACTTCAGAGGCAATGTCATTTTACTCTTGTCTAAAACTGAGGAAAATTTGATGCTGGTATCCACTTCTTTTGGTGATGGTTTAGATAATATTTCGTTTTTTGGTTTGTCTTTATTAATTTTTTTTGTTACTTCTAGATCAAGTTTTTCAATTGGATTTTCTAGGATAAAATCTGATGTCATATTGTTGTAGCAAGGTTCACTTAAAGTTCTATTTCTTTTCAAATAGGAATCATCACTATCATCACAAGCATCTTCATTATTCTCAAATTTAAATTTGCTTAAACCAAAACCATAAGTGCGCATTGGAAATCCTTTATGCATGATTTGCTTTTTTCTTAAATCAGGTAAACTGTTTCTTCTTTTATATTTATTTATATTCAAAAATCCATCTTGCAGCATTTTTAACTTGCTTAAGTCATTTTCAAATTCATCTGCTTTATTAAATTGCTTTGGATCCTTATTTTCCACATCCTTAATTTCAATTTCACCACAAATTGACATTGCACGTCCATGCAAAATCTTATTTAAATCTGTCATAGGAGTGGAGCATACACTAGTTTGTCCTTTGAATTCAGGAATCATTTCATCCTCATCTGTTTTATCAATGCCCAATCCTGAATCAGGTAGGTCTCGAGAAGTTACATTCTTATATTTTAATGGTAAATGAGTAGGTCGACTGAACTTTTGATTGTATTTTTGACTAGTCTTATTTTCAAATATAGTTTTTGTAGAATCTATATCTTCTAACTTTGCACAAGTAGAATGATCAACATCTTCCTCAGGTACCGATGTAAAAATTATAGATTTATCACGCTTAAGTGAAGTTATAGTTGTTACATCCTTATTCGCAGTTGCCTAAATATGATATATAGAATACATATTCAAATGGAACTTTAATCAATAAGTAAAATTAAACATTAACAAACCTTGTTTAGTAATAATTGTTTAGTTTGTGATAAGGATTTTGCTTTATCACTTAAATTCTTGAGATACTTATATTCTTCTTGCTCAATATAGACAATTAATATTTGGGTTTCAGCTGGTAAATGAAATCCAATCTCAAGCCTTTCAGCTGAAGATTTTATATGGTGCGGATCTGTTAGAACTAGATATTTTGTTATACTGGGAGGAAGTTGTGTAGCCACGACTCTAAATTGTTAAAAACATTTTAGTACACGTGCTGGAATTGCTAGTTGAATAAGAATAAAATGCTTTACTTATTGTGGTATAAAATAACACCTCCAAGTACATTATTCCGATGTTGACAAAATTGCAATGTATGCATAGCTTCTAGGAAAACATTGCTTCCACTCTAAAATATCCAGAAAAAAAAGAAATAATTATAAAAATCATTAAAATTCTAATATGAATAGATTATAGCAACACATATTCAAATATTACTTTAGGTAGTCTTATAACAGGAACATTTTGAAAAACGTTACTCCCATGTTGCAATATTGACAGATATGATTCAAAAATTTGATATAATTTATCTGATAACTTGCTTCTTCCAAATGAATCAGATGGAGTTTGAGCAGTTAATTCAATTTGATATTTTATAACTTGAATATCACAGTGATAAAATTGTAAGAGGGAAGACAGTAACTCAGCTCGACGTAATAGAATCCAATTAGCAATATTTCTATCAGTTCCCACAGCCTACAAAAATGCATTTAACTTCTTTAATCATTTCACAATCAAATATATAATAACTTATATTACGTTGATAGAATTAATTACCAATATATATCTTCCAAAATGTTTCATGACAAATTTCCCACTCTTCAATTCAATTATGTTTGGGCAACTAAATACATTTTTCAAGAAATAAGTTGTCCCCATTAACTGACCGCACAGTGCCAATCTTTGTTGATCTGAGACCCAACTTGGATAAAAGTAAAGAACAGCCTCCGAAGGATCATCATGCTCAGTTTGACAATGTAAAGTGTCGTAAACGAACAAAATAGGCATTTCCCTATAATTAAAAAAGAATGTAATAAAAGTAATTTGTTGTTAATATTGAGGATAAAATGTATAGTTTTCTGTAAACATTTGGCAAACTAAAGCATACTTAGACATATTGGAGTTGTTCAGAAAACTTTGGATTCATACAATAAATATTTATTTTCTTGTGCCTCCATTTTATGAGTAACTAATATTACTCATAATTATCGTTAATATTATTATTAACATTTTTAAATAGATAAATCACATTGTAAATTCTGACTTGATTTCAGTCCTGGCACATATTAATATAGATACACACAAATAGTTATCAAAAATATTTAATTTTGTCACTAGGGCGGCTTAAACTTTTATATTTTATTTAACTTTATTATAATTTTTCTTTTAAATATTACGATCCTCAAGCCTTTTCTTTCATTATTAACTACGAATGTATGTTTATTTACTCCCGATAAAAATGTTTTTCTTCAAATTTAGAGCAGTGATAAGATGTCAAACAAGCAAGATAGCCAACGTAAAAAATATCTATATGTTTCACTTTTACTGTTTTTTTAATGTCAAATAAATATTTTTTTTACGTTATGATTTTTCGCTAAGCTTATTTTAACCATTAATTTATAATTTATATCATAAAATTTAAGAAATTTATCAAGTGAACAAGTGAAGTATTATATTCAGTACGTAAATCAAAAACAAATAACATTTCCGGCTGATTTATTTACAAATTTCGTTCAGTTACTCTCTTTTATCCCATATAATTTTAATTTTAAAATGTATAAAGATGAAGGATACTACGACAGAAAATATGCCTATAAAATGTATTGCGACAAATATCCACAAAATAAAAAATATAGTGATGATAATCTAGATCAATGCATAAACGATTTTGAAGCACTAAAGTTATCTGCTTTAGCAAACGCTAATAAAATTAAACAGTATGTAAAAAGTGTCACTATTGGACCCGAAGCTTCAGCAGAAGAGGAAATCAAAGTCACATTATCAGAAATTAATAATGATTCTAAAAAAAGAAGTATTAAGTCACGTTTAGGACCTCCAGTGTCAAATCGTTATCAGCTTAAATCAGCTGTTATAAAAATTGAGAATAAACCACCAAATGACAATACCACTTGTAGTTCGTGGAAAGAAAATGTTCGTAGCAATGTAATGAATAATAATATGTTAAGATATGAATTGGATCAAGGTAATAGATATGTTGCACAGGTAAGAAATGATGAATTCGAAATTTAATTTGATTTATCCATTATTTTTCATTTGAAAAAATCTACATTAATAGTTATTACAACTATTAAGTTATGCATCTTTGATTTTTGATTTCATAGAAAAAAGTTTGGGAATTACAAAAGAAATTTAATGCTTTTGATCAATACTTGTATGAAAAATCAAAGCAAGAGTTTAGTAACAGGCAATCTGCTTATAATGAAAGATTGGAAAGAATAGAATCTGATATGATACAGAATCTAGAAAAGTATCAACATGAGGTAAATAAGAAGAAGCAACAATTGTTACAAGAACAACAAGAGCAAGTTCAGGTATATTGATTTAATATTCTTTATAGAAAATTTCCTCTTTTTTTGTAGTAGCACTACAAAAGTTCTTTCGAATTGCAGCAAAAACATAGAAGAGCTTTGGAAATAAAAAAACAAGAAGAAATTAGAAAAGAGCGATTGAAGAAAAAGGCAGAATTGGATGCCATATTTAACTCCCAAAAAGAATTTCGCACGATATATGAAGAAATTGTTAAAAAATTTGGGTTTGTTGTTTTGCATAGTAATATATTATTTTTCATTTTTTAAATTCAATCATTTTTGAACAGATCATACCAAGATGTCATATCAAGAGAAGTTTTAACAGAATTCAGTGACGAAGTTAAAGTTCTTGTAAATGATATAGATAAATTAGCACTGAAAAGCAAGGTAAGATTATCATCATTAATAAATATGCCTCTGGAGCTCTTAATTTTTTTGTTCTTAATTTAGGATGGATCAACATGCCCTGAAGACGTTATTAAAGCTCAACAACTGGTCGATGGAATTAGAAAGCAATGTAGTTTAATAAATACAGAATATTGTAAGGCAGTTACTAGCATTCAAAACCAAAACAATGCACAAACACAAAGGCATACACAGAAACTAGATTCCCCTAAAACGGAATATGTTGAGCAAGTCCAGGCAAAACAACCAGTAGCAGAAACAGATAGTATTTTGCAAACTACCGAAAATAGCCATGTAGACAATTCTGGAGCTATCAGTGGTTTGTGCTCTTGATATTTCTAGTTTGCAACAATCACTGTTTTTTTTATGTAAATATGAAATATTTTTAGAATATGAATATGGGAGCAAATTAAATTGGAGAAAAGTAGCTGAACATAGAAGCTTTATGTTAGAATTTGCCTCATATTTTCAACAATTAAAGTCTGATCCAGCATTAAAGAAATTTCGATTTGATTGTCAAAAAGCAGTTAACATACCAGTCAATGCTATTGCTGGGAAAGGAGAACATCATACTAAGGTACTGTCTTTTTAATACAAATGAGGTTATCAAATTTACAATCATTATAATATTAAAATTAATAGGATAAACTGCAAAAATTAGATAATTTATTAGCTGGAAAACAAATTCAAATTGGTAAAATGGCACTATGCGCTGGACAACATCCTCAAGGGATAGCTTACTGTTTTGACTTAGTTGCTAAGAGCATGGTGGTAAGTTTGTGCATAAACATAATAGACAGGTAATTAGTTTGAATAAGTAAAATAAAAACAAATTTAAATTACTTACAGAAACAAGGAACCCATGTTGCTAGCAATCCCGAATCTGCATTTCCTATTGCCTTTGTAATAGCAGCATTATGGAGTAAATATCCCAATTTTGGAAAATTAATTTTGGGATATTTTTATGAAACATGTCCATATCTTGCACCTGTATATCCTATTAAAACATCAGATATGACTGAAATAGAATATCAGAGGTAAAACAAATAATTTTCTTTAATAATTTCTTTCCTGAAAATTTAATAATTTTAGACTTTTGGGATATGAAGTTTCATCAGATGGAGTAGTTGAAGCAACTGATTTATTTCTAAAACGTGTTTGTGGAACTGGAAGATTGTTTTTTGCTGTAATGATGGTTTCTTGTAATAATCATCCTTTTGCCTTAAACCACGCTTGGTCATGGCTCGCGGATACTTTAAATTTTGGTATGAAAAAATATACATTAACATTGTTAATAATATTTGATAAAATTGTATGTTTTTAGCGCCAAAACCTGATATCAGCGCAAGTCTTATTTTACAATGTTTAGAAGTCACAGGACATAGTCAAATGAATTGCTACAAACAGCAATTTTCAAAAATCATGATGGTACTTATAGAAGAATATATGCCAGCATTAGGAAAGGTAAAATGATTTGAAAATATGAGTAAAGATAAAGTATTAAATTCATTTCTAATTTTTTATAGGTTGATAGTGGTGGTCCTTATGCAAGGTTAAAAGAATTTTTATTAAAGGCAATAGAAACTGGTATGATAAAACCTCCTAAGTACACACCAAATACAGATACGGTTGAGTATCTTTAAATACGAAATAATTAAATTGAACTTAAAACCACATTGTACATTAATAAAATATAATTTATGAAATATACACTATTAATTTATTTGTTCCAATTTATAACATTTATAAAAGCTTTTGAATAAAGCACATCTGCATAATACTAACAGGAATGTTTAAAAACAATGAATGAAATAATTAGTTTATTACTCTATGATTGTGATGTGACTAGAGTTTCTCTTGTGACCTAGTGTACATCAAAATGTACTATTATTTATTTAATCATATTTTCTATTATTAAATGGTTGTAATTGCAGCTGCCACATATTTACTAAGCAAGTAATTGAAACTTTTAAAACGAGATTGAAGTGAGTGAAAAATGTTAATATTTTTGACATGTTTGAAATGAGTGAAATCCATGGATATATATCCATGACTTTTTCATGAGATTGAAATTGACTATTGAATAAATTAACTGACTCATTAATTTAATTAATGAGTGATAAACCATGAAATTTAAAAATATATAATAATTGCAAGCATATACCTAATGTCCCTGATTTTTGTTACCTATAAGTAAGCCATTAAGTAAAGGTACTGATGTAGAATAAAAACATGTTACCACAAAAGCATGTAATTAGTTCTATTTAGAACTAGTTAAAAAATTAGTCTTCCTTTCTAGCTGGAAATGCTTCAGACATTCCCAAAATGCTCGTAGAACCATCTTGGACTCCAAAATATATCAGCCGGTACATTCCTAAAATACATTATTTCACATACACTTTATATTTGTAATGTCTGAGAAGTAATAATAGTTAAATACATTGCATAAAAATAAGTTCATCATATGTACAAATTGGAAATCCTTATTAAAGGTACCTGCTGAATGTAAACTGGTGTCAGGAAACAATATGTTGCAGCACTTTGGTGCAGTTATTTCACTATTAGATGAACTATGTCCATTTGCAGTATCCACAATATTTCCATTTCTAACATACATATATTCCTTATATTCGTCAAGGCTGTTAAACTCATCCTAGCAAAATATTTAATGCTCAAGATTTAAAAATAAAATAATAAATCACAGCTAAATTGTATAATGAGTTTTTGAAGAATTAGTTACATAATGATGTAGATTTTAACTAACCTTATAAACACCAATCCAGTCTTCAAATGAAATCTCGACACCAGGATTAATAGTGTACTCCACTTTATTCTCTTTGTCTAACTTCCACAGTGCTATTGAAGCAAACTTAACTTGTGCTTCTTCCTTTAGCTCGGATACCTGATCACCATCCATATTACAGAAGTTATTATCTTCATAAACTTTTTTGTTACATCTGGTGTACCACTTTGAATGGGGCGTGATCTGATTTTGGGCATGCAAATCTATATGAAAGCCGGGCATGATGTGCATTTTTTAACTATTATGGAGATGAATGAATGGATATATTAATTTAATAAATAAATTTTTAAATATTAAAATTGCGAATTTATGTGACTGGAGTATGCACAAATCAATATATATGTATGTATAAAACCGTTTCTTATAAATGGTGAAATAACATAATGCTCTGAAAAAGTTGTGAAAAGCTCTGAAAAGCTTGTGATTAATGAAATTATGGCAGCAAATTTACATGCATAATTAAAGCAATAACCTTTAAATGATAATACTTTATAAAATAACAATTTAATGAATATTATGTTATAAGATTCATGTATTAAAATATTTTATGCAAATGCAAAAATAACTTGAAAAATAAAATTGTATATTTACAGGTATTAGAAAGTTACTTGAAACCGGTTTGTGGTCACTAATGGTATAACCTTCATGACTTCTGTATGATAATTGCTCAAACTTTAACTTTTTATTTTCAGATGTGTGATTTTTCACTTTGTACATAATTCTATCTGTCCAGGCTGGGCGACGCCTACAAATAGAAAACTATTAAATGCTATAAAAATTATTTATATTACTTTGCTTCATTATAAAGTAATTACTTACTTCATATCATAATCATGATGAGTACCCACAACATATTTAAAGGTTGGCTTAAAGTTTGGTGTTTGTTCTGTAAATTCCTTAAATGCTTCACCTTTTATTCTTGCATTATTCAACTGATCCATCTCATATAATTTACTTAAATGATTCTTTGATACTTCATCAGCAATATATTCAGCAGAAGTAGAATCTTCATCCATTAACCGAAAATTAAGATCACCAATCCAGAAGACATAACTAAAACACAACAAGTATTTCTTAGCAGACCTATTGCAGTTATTTTATATATAATTTTGTAGACTTACTCATGATCTAAAATGCTTTCAACAAGTTTAGGACTAAACTTGTTTTCTTTTATTATGTCATGATAATCATCTATGCGATCGGATTGCATATGATCATGAGCTGTTAAATGGGCATTCACAAAACACATTGATGATCCATGATAAGAAAAACGTATACTCACAGCACCTTTGTTGCCCTATTTAATTTAAAGAGAAATGATTAAATAAGATATTACTAATTCTGCATATGAAAATCACAAAATTTCAATAACTTACACTAGAACACTCGCATGCAAAAATTCAATAAACTATTGCAATATATAAATAAAAAACAAAACCTATATGAGTATGTAATTGCACTTAAATTTTTTGATACGGTTAAAACTGAAATATATATAATATGATAAGCCAAATGTATATAAACATTTTTAGCCAAGTTAAATTTAGATGATATGTTGATCCAAGTTTTTGCATAACTTAATAATTACATACTTTTGGCATTAAATTATATATTAATTACATACCCACATACCACCAAGACCAGTTCTTGTATATTGTGTTTCAATGTAGCGTAAACTCAGCAAATGTTTTCTTAAGCAAAATATATTCAAAACAAGTCCTTGCAATCGAATTGTTTTAACCTACATTCAGTGATCAAATATTTTATATTACAGACACATTTATGAGCAATAATTAATAGATATATTTACTTTGACAAAATCCCTTATTTCTAGAATACTTTTAATAGCATTTGTCCAAGGATCTTCAAAAATAGCATCCATTACAATATTCTGAATTTGAGCTTTGACTTCCTGCAAACTGGGAAAAGGAATTCTAATTTTTAAAAACTATATACTTAAGAAATCTTAATGAATAAGCTGGGTTGAACATCATATTTAAAATAAAACACAAAACAATGGTCACAAATTAAAACTTACCCAATAACATAAAAATCAAATTTATTTTCATCATCTTTTGAATTTTTAGATACTTGTAGTAATTTGTGTAAATCTTGCTCTGGTGAGCCTGTACCGACATTATAGGTCACAAAGTGAAATCTGACAAAACAGATATGGTTTAATAATTCTATTCTTATAATAGACACAATGATAATTAATTTCACTTACTTTAAGGGCACTTCAGCAGCAGACATTGCAAATAACGTCAATACAAGATATACAAATAGATTAAGCAATTTATAGTGATACAACATATACTGCGTAGATAATTAAATTAACAAGATAAGTTTTTACGATAAATGAACAACCTTCGTCATTTCTTAACTTCAACTTTAATAATCACTCACATTAAATATTCAGGTACGAATTGTTTTGTATTAAAACTATATGTAATAAATAAATTTAATAAATTATTTTTAAAGGCATAATAATCGTAAATAATTACAATTTATAAAACATGATGATGTCATGTGGAAACACATTTCTCATTTGACAGCTTTCAAACATAAATGTCAACGTAGTTATTTAGTAAACTTATAGATGGCGACACTGCCACTGCCAAATAAATACCACTGATTATCAATCTGTGGGTCGCGCTCAAATTGGGGGGGGGGCGAATGCAGCTGTTTCCAAAATTTTATTTTCTTATAAAAAGTCGAATTAGGTCAAAAAATGAATAAATAAATTATCATTAGGAAACATTTTTTATTAGATTATATATTATTTAGATTATAATATTATTTGGGTATTTTTATATTTTAACACGTAGTTTTAGTGCAACATAAGTCTATTTATAAAAAAAACCTAGATAGTCTTTTTAATTGCCATATATTTTTAACATACCCCATAGTATTATTTAACTATTTATGAGCGGCAATCCCTCCAAATAGTAATTTTCATTTGATGCCATTTTTTCCGAACTATAAGCTCAACTGCAAATTGATATATTGGTTGATATGAAGCTGTTGGAGGTGGGTATCAAACCCAGATCCAGTGAATGCTGGATCGAATATTGCTTATCCATTTTCTTACCACAATGCAAACAGTCAGCTTTAATAATTATTATATTTTACTAAGTTTTCGCCGATTTTATTTTTTCCATGGTTTATTTTACATTATCATAAGCAATAATGATATCATTACAATGAATAATATTAAAAAAATGATGAGATAATAATAAGGGCTTTTATACAACCTCTGTTTAAAAAAAATTGTTTTATAAATTTATTATTTACAACAAATTTTATTTCATAACGTTATGATACAATATTTTAATATTCACAAATAGCACATTTGAGTGTATAATACATGCTAGAAAGTTCACAATCAGAAACAGTTGGCTATTTTTATAAAATATATATTGTAAATATATATTTATGTTGGATGATAGCAACGAAAATAATATTGTATGACTAGCATCGCTTATTAATTTGTAACAAATGTAATATTTCATTAAATTTATTCTGATCATTACTAATTAACACCCTGGTCACAGTATATTACTACTAATTATTTGTTATTTTAATTAGTAAAATAATATTTTAAATAAATACATTTTAAGTAGTATAAAATACTTTAATAATAAATTATAAATATTTGCTGTGTTTACCAATTTAAATATAATTTGTCATATGTGCATATTTTTATTGTTGGTTTACCTACAATTTATACACAAAGGAATTAATACAGTGATCTCAAGTACTCTGATGTCTAATATTGGTTAAATGATATATTAATATATTATTCAATACATTCATATATCACCATACTATTTAGGGTATTTTGGAATTTACAAACTGAAAAACTACAGTTTCGTATTCTGTTAAAGCTTTGAAACAAAAAGAGTATATTTATTCAAGCATCGATGACAATACAATTTATATAATTTGTGTAAATAAAATTTTGCCAATCAATTACAAGAATTTTTTTTGAAAATTACTATTAGTTTATAATCTTATATTTAAAGTAATGGCAAACTCAAATGTTTTCTTAATTCTCTTTGATAAAGTTTGCTTAAAATAAAAATTAAAAATTAGTTATCACAAATCCTTTTCTCCACATATAGTATCTTAATTTATACAAACTTATTACCTACTCTTTTTATAAATTATTTTTAGAAAAATTTAACATATTTATTTAATACCAGTGATTTATATTGATAATATTTTATCACTCTAAATTTACAAAATGATTTTATATAATTTCAGAACTAAATTTTATTTAAAACTAAAAAATATATATTTTCAGATAGTTTATATGCATATTTTGTTCAAATATATATGAATATATGGCTCTTCAGAGTTTTGTTGATATCATGGATGCAAATGCAAGATATTAAAATAAGAGAAAATAAATATGAAATATAAGGTTTTTCATGTAACAATAAATGCTTTCTCTTGAAGTATCATTTTGTAACTTGTAACCAGATCAATATTCTTCAACATATGACTTATTACCTATATTTGTCTAAATTTAATTTTTGTCTAATAGAACATAAATATTTTCAGGAATTTTACAGTTTTTGCCAATGAAGCATATCATATCACATCTAGCAATAATACGTCATGTAATTCAAAGTCATTTTCTAAATATGTTCATAATTTTAAATTTAATTGTAATGTGCACATCATAAATTTAAAACCGAAATAAAAATCATCACTCATCCACAACTCGAACACATACTGAGGTATCGCAAAATACTCTTCATTGTCGATTTATATCGATTTATATCGTCTCTTATAAAGAAGAGTTTACCATTTTCTTCTTAGAGTTCTTCATCATGTGTTTCGCAATCGGAACCAATTGAAGACTTTCTCCGGAAATCACGTCTTGCACGTTTGTCAGTTTGTTCGACTTCCTCGTGTTTCCGCTGTCGCCATTTATTGTTTAGTCACACCTTCTGCTCGCCCGGAATTGTGTGCGACGTTGCCCGGATGAACTGGGATCAGATAATAGAATTTGGTGAAAATTTGTGGTTTTTATATAATAGAATTTTTAATTTTACAGAATATTAAGTCAATAACTAGTTGGTATTGGTATTTAGCCTTAAGGCAAGTTACATGAACTTCCCGATATGTGTAAATAATCGACTTAATCAATAAAAAACAAATTAATTTATGAGTGATTTATGAGTATTCCGAGTGGATTTATTACACACAATTGAAAACGAACGAACACGTTAACTCGGAGTATTTTCTAAAAGCAAATTTTCACAAATCAATAACTTTTATAATTGTACCAGTTTTCATAGGTCGTTAATGGTTTAGTATGTTTATTAAGACCAAGTAATCTATCGTTATACCAAGTAAATCATCTAATTTTAATTTTAACAAACGCCAAAAAACCTCTTTTTCTCAAACTTTGATGAATTTTTAAAATTAAACTACTTGTCGTAAGGCCGTAATACTTCAGTAAGTTCGATAAGACCATGATATATATCGCCAAGAAAGTTCCATAAAAATCGGCTTAAATTTTTTTTCAACAGTTAATTACAAGGAAACGGCTCGGTAGATTTTCACCTAAAGCTAATCAGTATTATTCCCAACTATTATCTTTCGAACAGTTTTTGATTTTTTAAAATCGATTCGGTAGAATGAGCTTAAATGTGGACGTAAAGTTTAACACTCTTTTTCAAATTACAAAGAAACGGCTCGGCAAATCGTCTCACAAAACTGACAAACTATAGTGCTCATTGAGATACATCGAATGGCTTTTAAATTTCTGAAATCGGTTCAGGCGTTTTTGAGCAAACGTTGATGAAAGGTCTAATTTTAACAAATGCCAAAAAAACGATACCAATTTTTGAAAATTTAGACGAATTTTTAAAGCTAAACGAGTTGTCGTAGGGCGGTAATATTTTAGTATGATCTAGAAGACTATGGTATCTACCGTCAAAAAAAGAATCATAAAAATCGTCGATTTTTTTTTAACTTTATTACAAGAAAATATAAATATTGTAGATTTACAATTTACAACACGGAGGAAAAGTTTGTTTTCGCCAGAAAATCTAATTTGTTAATTTTATATTTTCTCGACGTTTCAAATCACTCTGAATAATCTTAATAGCAAAGATTATTTTAAGATCTGATAAGTATATAACTTTATAATAGATTACATAAGTACAAAGATTATTTTCAAATCTTATAAGTATATAACTTTATAATAGATTACATAAGTGCAAAAGGCTTGGTCAACGTTTTGCAAAAAAAAAAAAGAAAATTCAAAAGGGGTCAGATCGCAATCGTCTTGATTAGATTTTGGAAAATATCAGCTGAGCCGTTTTTTACAATTATTTCTTGAATTTTATTTTTGTTGATATTAATCACAATTTGCATGGAAATAAAGTTCACAATTTAAACGAACGTTCAGAAATATTGTAAACTACAAAAAGTGGTTATTTGTAAAAATTCAATAATTCTAATTTTCGAAATATACAGCTGAAAATTGTATCTTCAGGTGTCAGGAAGTTCTAGTAAATTGCCTCAAGGCAAAATTTCACTTACACCTAGCTAGTGTTTTATTGGTTATGTTTTCTTGAAATTATAGAAGCAAACGTATAATAGATTTTCATATAAAATATTTGTACTATATGGTACCGGATTTTACTTTTACTTTTCATAGATGTGTGGCAAAACATTGATACACTTTTTATTAATTATATTAAAATAATAATTTGAGCAAAATAAATTTTGAGTTACTAAGTAATCGTAAATTATCATATTTGAATTTTAATATAAAAATTTTAATTTAAATTTTAATATGAAAATTAACTTTAGCATAAGAACTAGTATATCGTGGCGTTAGTTGATTCTACTTGATATGAATTTTTAAATATTATAAATTTTTAACTGCAGAGGCCCATCAGCAAAAGCTCCCATGTGATTCCAAACAAATGGAAAAATGCAAAGTTAAAAAAGCCATAGATAAAAAAAAAAACAGAACAACTAACGCTCTTTGAATTTTTATTCACCGAAACTGTTGTAGCGGAACATGAGTTGGCACGAGGCCGGAACATCAAAGTATTCCATCGTCGTTTTAACTGCGCCATCACCTGAAAGTATATAAAAATTAGATAAAAATTCTATCGGGATATTAAAAGAGATATCTCAAAGACAACCTAATTTCAAATATAAATTTAATGAGATATAATTCAACGTGAAACGCATCATTCTTGCACAGACTGAGAACACTAACTTTTAAAATGTGTTAATGAATGTAATATAAATCAAAATTAACTTTCTGCTGATTCTTTCAGATATTAAAGGCTTATGTTTACGTACCTCTCCATTGCAGAAGCAAAACAGTGTTGCTACACAAAGACCCTAAAATAAAAATGAAATAAATTCAATTAATGATCAACATTATATACAAACATTCGACAAAATTAATAGATCATAATTCTAATGAATATTATCAATAATTGTGTGAGGAAATATTAAAATTATTCAATAGAGCAATAATTCAATTATTTCCTAAATTTAGTTACTGTAATAGTATTATATTTCTTGGTTTATAAATAACATGAGAGATTTGAAATTTGTTGTTCATTGATAAAATATAAATTAGAAGTAATTTTATATTTCAATAAAAATTTATATCACAACTACCCTTATATTTTGGCTTGGAAAAACCAGCTCCTTACTTTCGATTATAACAATTTCACTACTCTATTAATTGATTAAAATAAGAACATTTTTCTATATTAGTATAAAATTTATATCACAAAAACCCATATATTTTCTTTTATGCATGGCCTAAGAAAAACCAGCTTCTATGCTTATGTTAGGTTTGTAATATAATACTATTTCAGTAAACATAGAGATTAAATGAAATATCAAGATGATAAAAAAAGATTTGCGATGCTAAATCTCTACAAAGGAATTCTTATGGAAAAAAATTTGAGCACAAAACATGGAAGTTACATATAACACAGAAAATTGTGTTCGATCAATATATAATATTTTTGAATTCTCAGATTTTAGATATTGATTTAAATTGATTCTAATAAAGAATGTATCAATAGAAAGTTAAATATTTTGTTAGATGTTGACATATATATTAACACAATCTAATAACGGGATTAATTAAAAAAAATATAATATAATATCTATCGTTGATTTTACACATATTCTTTTGTAAAAATTTGTCCTAAAAATTTCCCATAAAACAAGAGTAATTCAATAATTTTAATGTTTCTGTTAAATAGTGTGGGTTATATTATATCCTTATTCCATAACAAATATTAATTCTATTTTCAATATAAGATTTAACAAATTTTCCACTGAATGAAAGCTAGGACTTAAACCAAAACGCAGCAATTTTAAAATATTTCTTTTTACTAAATTTCTTGTTTTTTATTTACTTCACTCCAAACATTTAGATATTTGGAGTAAAGTAAAGACACAGATAATTATATATATATTTTTTAGATATATGTATTTATCTGTGAGTTATATTATTATTAAGATTTTTGTTACCTGAAAAGAAGCTGTAATAGCAGACGTCATCTCATAGACGCGCTCCCAAGAATGACCAGGTGGAGGGCGAAATGGGGTCAATAAATAATGCAACCCCAAAAGTGGTACTAATAATAGTGTAGCCCTATAAAATATAAATTTCTAATTTAAAGTCTTTGGTAATCAATAATTTTAAATATAATAATACTACTTAGATTTATTTTAATTTTTTTGCAATTAATGGCAGTATCATAAGAGTACTTTTACAAATAAGTATATGAAACTTGATTTAAAATCTCTGTTTCCCTTAAGTATACTTCCTAGTACTATTTCCTAAATCCCCAGCTGATAGCAATTGATAAAACTCATCGCAATAGGCCCAAGTCGTAAATGAATCATGATGATAAGTATCGACTAAGCTTGATTAAGCACATAGTAATTAATTGGGTAAATCAATTCTGTGGTAAAATTTAGACCTAATCGTTTTCTCTTAATCTCCTTTGATTGATCATCAACAAGGAACAATAATCCACTAAGAAGGTTCGGCTTAAAACTACTGTAACAATAGATGCTATTAGTCCGATACGCTTCGAAGTCTAAAACCGATTGAAAATTTAATTAGAGCTGTAGAGCAATCAGAGAAAGGATGAAACTTTTATTAGCTTTAAAGAAGTAATTTTATGAATTCGCACAAAAATTACAATCACTAAAGAAGCATTACTTTTTATGTGAGATGAAACCCGATACACCCTGAACATATAAATAATTTATATTTACCTGAAAGCCTGCAGAGCCGTACTGGAGGGCCCTGAACTTCCTCCATGATGAGGCCCTGCCCGCAATTTAACTAATAAAACTCTAACGATGTTGCACAGCAACACCAAATTCAACACCATATATAAGCACACTGGAACCACCAAAACTGTTGAGTACCAACTTTCGTTCATCCAGCACCTAAACATAAAAAATTAGTCAAAATTATAAATTATTATTCCCTTAAATTAAAGTGAATCTGAAAATGATTTTTCAAATTGATTGCCAGTTCAACAATAGTCAAATGAATGATCACCATAAAAATCTGATTTTTCAATTATTAAGTAACTTTGTTTTTTCCCTAAAAGTCTTGATTTTTTTTGAACGATATTAATCTTATTCAAACGATATAGTAAAAAAAGGCTTTATAAATAAGCGTGCCATTTACCTGAAAGGTATGCTTATATATTCAGAAGATTTTGCATCTTACGTACGTCAAGGAATAAATAAACTTTGTATGTATAGATTCACCGGAAAATTGTTCAAATATAGGGAAATCCTTTAGATTACCAGGAGGTTAGTGATATAAATTCGATGTGGGTGCTCGGTTTTTCGGAGATGTGGGGAAAAAACATATATAAAGTAAATATGACCCGGTATGCCTTCCTATAACTCGTATAGTTGATGTAAACCAAATAAATATAATAAAATAAAAACATACCAAAATTGTCATAACAAATTATACTATGCTATGCCAGGGTCCAAGAATACATGTTCGGATTAACGGATTTGTTGATTATGTTTATGTTTAATTATAGTATAGCACCTTATAATCAACAGGTATGTGAGGTGAAACTTAAAGGGTTGCTACCTTAATTCAAATTATTACTTGAATAATACTTCCAAACTAATGAATATTTTTAACTTCCCGTAGGGCAAGTTATAGTAATCGCAAAAAAATCGAAAATGAAAATTTTTATATATCTTTACGTTTCAGAGGTTTCTGAACATTTTGGCATACCTTAGAAAAAATGGATGTATGTGTGTGTGTGTGTGTGTGTGTGTGTATGTGTGTGTGTATGTATGTATGTGTGTGTATGTATGTGCGGATACAAATTTTCGTCGACGATTTCGGGAACACGGATCAACCGATTTGGATAATTCAAAAAACATTCGATCCGTATGATAAGGAGACGTGCTGATTAGTTTTTGGCAAAGGCAGGTCAAGCCGTTCCGAAGATACGGGGCAAAAAGTTTCGAAAACGGTAACTCAGTTTTAAGAGAACGGAGCGTCCGATTTTAATAATTCAAAAAACATTTTATTTGTATTGACAAGATGAAGAATCGATACAACTTTCATGAAGGTAGGTCCAGCGGTTTCGGAGATATAGAGGAAAAAGTAAAAAAATGAGCCATTTGGCGGTCAAAAATGATCATTAGACATATGCACATCAAATTATCAGATATTTTATAGAGATTTTAACAATAAGTATACATTTTGTTAACATTCCTATCGGTTCCGTACCAATGCTTATGCGTTAGACAGCGACGCGGCGCTTACGCGCTTTATATTTTGTCCCTATGTTGTTAAAGCAGTACGATTGCTTTGAAAAAAAAAGTTCAGATCTTCCACAATATGTCAAAATAAAGAAAAAAAAAATTTTTTTTCAAAAAAAAAAATTTTTTTAAAAAAAAATTTTTAAAAAAAAAATTTTTTTTTTCGAAAAAAACTAATTTTTTGTCCAATTTATAGTTTCTCAAAAATCTTATTTTTTTCAAAGTAATTTTTTTTCAAAAATGTTAATCGTTTTAAAAAAATAATAATAATTTTTGGTACGGGAAGTTCCAGCAATTTGCCTTAAGGCACGATGCCCTAATTGCCTTAAGACAGAATTCCACTTACAGCTAGTTTACCTACATTAATTAGAAAAGTATTTTGTAAATAATTTTTATTTAGATGTCTGTGGTGTTAACTAATTTTTTATGGTCAACTGATATAATCTCAATCAAGATACATATAGTATTAATTCTAAAACTATCTCTATATTATCTGGCCTTTATTGTTAGCTGGCTATTTTAAAATTATTTGTTAAAGTTTGAAAGCGCAATGCATAAATGCAATTTGCAATGCAGCTAATGAATAAATGAAAACTATTTAGCATGTATAATGCACTTACGATCAAAATAAACTTTGCTTACATTTGAATAACAAAAAGTTACATTTATTTTTAGATAACTGAAATATAGTTAAATTCATTCATGCTCTTCATTTCGATTTCCATCACATGGAAATGTGTTACAATTGTCTATATGCTTGAATAAACATTAGAAAATCGATATGCACTTATGCACTTAAGTTTAATTCAATATATCAAAAACAATCGACAGAAAATTGTATTACATTTTGCTATTACGAATACTATATTGGTTTAATATTCAATTAGTAATTAAACGACCGCAAAATGGTTTTTCTTAATTATAGTTATGTAACTTTTGATATTGAGATATGAAAAATATGTGGGCGATATTAATTATAATTAACTATTATAATTAACTAATAAACATATAAATTGGAAATAATTTTACCTCAATATGTAATTGCAATTAAATATTTACATAAAATATTTGTAAAAGAAAACCATATGTGCATTAATTATATTACATGCTGAAAAAGCACGCACGTTTTAATTAATGACAATTTTTTCTTTGTTTTATTTAATATTAAATAATTTTTATGTACCGTATGGTACACATACACAACATATGCTATTGGTAATAAAATATATAATTGAACCATCAAATTAAAATTTCAATACATTTTGCGGTCATTTTAGTCATAGCACCTATTTAAAAAAATAGATAACTCGACAATGTGACTGATCAGGTTAAGTTTTTTTTATTTATAAGTAATAGTTAAAAATAAAACGTCATTGCCAAAATTAATCACCGATTTTGAAAATTAAATTTTAAATTTCGATTTAAATATATAATTACAATTGCAAGTCTTGTTGACCAACCGATTACAATCTTGTTGATCATCTACAATTTTTAGATTTTTTAATTTTTTATTTATTAATAAATAACTCTATCTAAAAACATGACATCTAGTAATTTTTTTGATTAATATAAAGAAGTAAGAAGATATCAGGCCGCTCAATATTGTTGTCCTAATAATATTGTTGTTAAGTATAAGATATTTTGAAAAAAGTTAAACTTAAATAGGAGTAATCTAGACATTCATATAAACTAGTCAAATTTAATTAATCAAATTAGATTAAGAATAAAAAAATCTTCTAGTCTAAGCTAATATTAATCATAGGAATAAGTGTACATTATTGTTACTGTACGTAACTTTATATGTTATTTTGCTAACTGAAAAGTTTTATTCTTTTGAGTGTGTATTCAAAAGTTGTAATATAATATAATTATAATTTGGCACACACGTTCATTGCTGTGATTATCAATATTTTATTGCCTCATTGAGTAGTTTTTAATTTCTTCTGCAACTGTAATTTTTAGATTTGGACAAAATACCACTAATATTTCTTTACTTATAATTTTAACGCAATTCTAATACGGATTACTGTATTTCTGTTTCCTATATCTATTTGATTAGGTTTTCGTTTTATCTCTTCAAACTTTTTTCTTAACATGTAATCGTGTTTTCCGGAAGGCTGAGGAAAATCTTACATAATGCTTATAGACCAGACGTGTGGGCGCTATAGACTTCAACCAGGGTTCGAATTTCGATGAAAAGTCAATGACACCATAGAGGAAAATGCATTTTAATCATAGCTCATATCTTGACTGATAATAATACCATGATAATAATTAACACGAAAAAATAAAAACTCATGAATACTTTATTACCATGTTTCATTAGGTACTAAATCGTGCTAAAATTTTTAAGTCATAAAACTGCTTACCAAGTTCAAATCACAAAGTTCATTCTATATTCTTAAGACGTATTGTTTTTAATTTTTCATTCCCTATACTGTTGAATATTTTATTATGTACCATATATGAACCAAATACTTTTTACAGAGAAGTGGATGTCTTGCACGCCACAATCTTACGTTCCTCTTGGGGTATGCTCTACTTTTGGGAATACTGGCACCAGTAGTGAACAATCTTTATAGAAATATTATATATATATATATATATATATAATATTTATATAACATAAATATTCTCTGCATAATCTAATTATATTCATTAAATTAAGAAAACCCTTGTTTATATTAATGGCACAGGGTTTCATTAACCAATTATGATCTTTAAAAGCATCAGTAGAATCCCTAAGGTTGATCTCCGTAATACATATTATTCTTCTGGTTTTATATGACATGATGTGATATTAATTTCAAGAAACGACTACACATTCTATTTGCAATGTTGCTGTATTTATTAAATTTTAATTTTTAATAACTATATAAAATTACTAAAGTGCAAATAGAGAGATAAATACTGTTTGATATTATCTTGTTTCATTGCATCACTGGAACTTTATGATCATTACTTCAAACCATTGCATATTTACACTCGTTTATCATTGCAATAATATTATTAATTTTTACACGTCATTGTATAACCTACTTGTGCTTTAAATATATTTCATTTCCTCCTACATAAATCATGAAGTGCAATAAATCAATATACAAAAACGAATTATTTCGAACAAAAATATCATGGCCAAAAATATGTTTTTCGAGCTTTGTCGGTGCCAAGAAGGAAAAAATTGCAGAACATAAATTGTAAAATTGGCGTATTTCCTTTGAAAAGAAATAAAATTCGTAAATTAGTTCTTAATGGATTTTGGCAATAGCTGGTGTTCGCTTGAGAATGAAAATTTACAAATTGTACTTCTCCTAAAACTTTTCTTGGCTTTTCTAAGTGCATTTGCACTATTACTTGTATAGGATAAAATCGTATCAAACTAGTAATTCCGGCTAAGACGAAGACAAAAACAATTTATGTAATTAAGCATGTAATAATAATACAATGTTAGAAATACTATATTCCTATACTATTCTATAGTCTATGCTATATAAAATACTATAATATTATAATCAAGATAAATATTTTCCAGAAATTTCAAAACCAAATGAAATCTACATTAAAAGCGCCTAGATATATTCGAAATTGACTAGTTCATAAATGCACTAATTTTTATAAATTGACAGAGAAAAAAGATTTGCAAT